ACTCGACCTATGGGCTATGAACCTTCCGAGGTGCTCAAAACATCGCCGACTACGACTTGAAATCGAAGTTCTTTTAGAACCGACGACGGGTCAGGCAAAATAATCAATAAGACCTTAACGAGAGGAAACAAATCCTACAAAAAGCCTCCGGGCCTCACATCAAACAGCGTAAGTGCCATTGTCGCCGGCTAAGCAAAGCCTCCGGGCCTCACACTGAAAGGTCTCTACGACCATCAGCTTGAAAATTGACAACTTGAAGATTAAAGTGAGCTCGAATTGTAACCCGATTCGGACACCGGATCCAAAATAGTTAAACTAAGCAAAGCCTCTGGGCCTCATATCAAAAGGGTCCCTGCGACCAAATAGCGTAAGTGCCATTGTCGCCAGCTAAGCGAGCCTCCGGGCCTCATGTCAAAAGGTCTCTACGACCAAACAATGTAAGTACCACTGTTGCCAGATAAGCATGCCTCCGGAACTCATACTGAAAGGTCCCAATGGCCAAGCAACGCGGAAGGTCACCATCGCTGGCCAAAAACTCAGATGAGATTTAAGGGTCGATTACAGCTCGAATTGCAATGCGACTCGGGTACTGTACCCGAAAAATCGCAAAACACCCCAGGGCGGAGAATGAAAGTCATTACCACCAACCCGAACGGGCTCGAGGGTAAAATAAGCCTGAGGCAGGATCCCGACTCGGAGACTGAACCCGAGGGCAATTCAATCACCATACGCCTAAAAGCACGGCCCCGACGACGCTATCAACAGTCGCGACAAATCCCCAGGCCGCGCGCCCGCAAAAACACTTCGGTCCAGGAGCACATAGGGTCATCACCCTCCGCCCATGAAGGCGGGAAAAAGCCGCAAGGCCAATCAGAGTTCGAGCCATAGCATGGCTCAGGGACCGATCCCATAAACCAATCTACACGATCAAGAGCAACGACCGAAAAAAGGTACAAAAAGAATAACACTTTGAAATTCTCCTTACATTACATACGACAAAAACATTCTCCACCTACAGGCACGCTCTGCGCGTGCTGGAGACCAAGCTACAAAATAGTAGGAGTTATATTTTGTGCTAAGAGGCTACAACCCGTCAAGATTGCCCTCTGCAACGCCCACGAGGAGTGACCGAGCTTCGCGCTCCTCCGCCCTTTCTTGAGCCAATTCCTCCGAGAAGATAAAGCCTCTCGCTCCAACTTCCTCGAACACTTCTCTCCAGGATCGGCGGCAAACATATTCCTCGATCCTCTTCTCACGATCAAGGGCTTGCCTCAACTCGGATTGGGCATCAGCAGCCTCCTTTATGCAAATCGCCATCTCATGATCTGCCCTGGTTCGGCTCAGCGCCGCTTCCGCCCGGGCGTCAACTATCTCGCCCCTGACCTTCGAGAGGTCAGACTCCAGTTTCTCGATCATATCCGCTTAAACCTTGGCGTTACTTCAGGATAAGTTGAGTTGGGCCTCGAAGGCAGGAATCTTGGCTGAAGCGCTCACCTCCTCCAAGGCTTGAGCCGGCACTTGGCCCTTTAGTTCTTCGCAAGCTGCCTTGACACGGTTCACCTCACCCTTAAGGTACTCCAAGGCCTCTGTCCCTTTTTTTTGCAGCTAACACGGCAAGAAGAAGTTATCCCTAAATATTAAAAAGAAGCAAAGAACGCACTGCAGGAAATTACCTGCTCCATCAAATAGCTCTCATAGTTCGAGCTCCGATACGCCTCATATCGCCAATGCTGCAGCTCAATTCCTTTCTCCTTGCAAAGAAGCCTAAGGGATTCTCCCTCATCCCGAACCCTCTGGAACTTGGCCTTTTGACAAAGCAGCTCGGACTTGAGTCTATCACAGGCCTGCGCTGGAAAGATTAAATGAGGGGAGGAAGACGCGGGGTATGAGAGAATTATGCATGAACTTACCGCAAAGTGAAGATGGCAACTCTTCTCCAAATCAGAACACACTCCTGATAATACCGCTCCCGCAACCCCGGAAGAACCGGCTCCGGACATAACATGCTCATTCGAGGGAGCCTCTCGCCGAGAAACAAGTACCCTGGGGACAGCCGACTCGGGTGATGCCCTGTCCTCAGAAATGCAAGCCCGGCCAGCGCCACTAAAAGCTCCTTCACATGGTGGGTCTCGAACCCTCTTGCTGCTGCCGTCTCTCGGCTCGGGAGCCGACGATTCCATCTCTTCTCCGGGAAAATGCTGCCTCGCCCCGAGAAACTCCCCGATATCTGCAAAAACAACGCGTCCAGCGTAGAAGAGATGGGAAAATGCCGCCTCAGGAACATATCGACAAAGAAGAAACACATGCACATACCTTGATGATCCACTCCCCACCTGATGCGAGACATAGCTCGCCACCTGCGTTCATCGCAAGACGAATGGGTCACCAACCTCCGAACCCAGCGGGGAAAATCGTGAACTTGGCCCGGCGCCCATGAAATTGCTACAACAAAGGGAATAATGCTGATTACTTGGCCAATTTTTGCTATGAACAAAAATTGAAGGAACGGCAAAAGCGCCTCACTTACGCGCGTAATTCCACCCTTCGGGGAACGGCAGGAAATCCACAGGGATGACATCGGTCGTCCTGACTCGGACAAACCAACTAGCCCACCCTCGATCTCCCCCTTTATCATCGTCGACAACGAAGGGCGTGGGCGAGCGAGCCCTCAAGGTTAGCAGACCTCGATGGTGGAAAGGCCGATATAGCCTGATGAGATGGTCAAGCGTGAACTCAAGACCGGCGTTCTCCGCAAAAAATCTCATCATCAGCATCGTCCGCCAAAGCGACGGATGAATTTGCGCCAAGGTAACCCGATACTTCAAGCAAAAGTCGAGCACGACCTTATCGAGAGGGCCAAATACAAAAGGGTATAAGTACACGCTCAAAAACCCATCAGCAGAGTCCGTGATGCCTTCGCGAGGGGAAAGCACCCACAGTGTCATCCCCTCGCTCCACCCACAGTATTGCCTCGCCATTTCCAGGTGTCCCTCTCTCATCAAGGACGCCGTCTCCAGAGCGAAGCCCTTCGACTCTCCAGCACAGGGAACGGCATCCCCCGTCCTTTGCCTTAGCGGTTCCGAAGTTGTCGCCATAGCTGAAGTAGAACAAACAAAATAAAGCAAAGAAGCACAGACGCTTTTCGCACTTCAGAATATAGGGAGCCCTATGCCGAAACGGAAGAACAGCTACCCAAAAATAGTGAAGCCTCACAAAAAGGCCGAAGCCACCCCTCTTATATACAAAAAGCAGCGGCGAAGTCACCTACCAGATGTAAGCTCCACGAAGCCAATGGCCTCGATACGGGTCGACGGGTCAATACCCGACCCAGGAAACATCCTCCAACAGACGACCAAGCTCGAGGGTCCACGCGAATCATCTCCATGCTCCAGGTAGTGTTTCACGTTTGAAGCCTCCGTCCACCAAGAAGCAGGATCATGATAAGCTCCAGGGCGCCGATGCCAGACGCAAGGCATGCGCCCGGGATCACAATTCCCTCCCCGAAGGAGCAAACCCGAAGAAGATCCAATATCCGAAGGTCTACGAAGCCCCAAAGGAGCGCCCCACGCATAGGCAAACTCCTCAAACGGAAGCCCACCTTACACTCTTCGAAAGAGTTATCCACATCAAAATCAACAGGGCCCATCGAGGCACCTAGGGATGACCTTCATCCGCCGTATCGTTCCCGAAGGCCCCAAAATTTGATGCAAGATCTCCAAACGAACCAGCGGGCCCCGACAGCTCGAGCCTATCCGGTCGGTCCCTCGTCACGCCCAAGTACAACAAAAAAGAAAGCAGGAAAGAGCCTTGCCAATCAGCTGGGGACCAAAACAAGCTATCACGCCAAGCTACAACGACCCATAAGTAATAGAAGGCATTTAAAAATCCCGAAGGACGACAGTAGGACCAAAAAGGCCCATGTCAATCGGCGGAAAATCAAAGCAAACACTCACGTCTAAGATTAATATCAGCAATCAGCAACACAAAGGAATACATTTGAAAAGCCTCGAGGAGCAGAAACGACAGGACGTCGAGCAGAGATCTATGAGACAAGCCAACGGTTACGAAGGATTGCACCGCGATCTGAATCGCCATTATAGCATCGCCAAAGGGAGCTCGAGGAGTCGAGTGTCAGAATCATTTCCCATCACTTCATCATCAGAAACGCGGAGACTATCTGTACGCGGTAAAAATCAGAACACTTGATTTTCGCTATCAAGACAATTTCTGAAGCCTTCCTCAAGACCCCGAGGATGGGAGGCCACGATCGAGTTCTCGGCCTCAGGGCTCGTCGAGGTCCGAATCAAAGGAAGCAGGGCCCGAGGTCAGGGTGAGAGGAGATGCCTCCGAAGCACATGGCTACACCTGACAGTGCTGGTCTATCTATAGCCTACTGAGATGACGTGCGATAGGTCGTCCCATATTTCCACTCTTGTAAATAATTTATGCATATTTTACTGAGTCCCCTCGCCTATATAAGGGGGACTCACCCCACCTTGTAAGGGACTGATGTTGCTCCACTTCTCCAATAAGCAATAATATCTCTCTCTATCTCTTTTTTCTAAGTTAACTGTGTTCTTCGACCCCGAGGTCGCCCTAGCATTTTATTGTTCTTCGTTTGTTCTTCGTCATTTAGCTCAAGATTGACGGTATAAAACCTTGTATACACATACTTATCTGTTATCCCCTTCCCGACTACCCTTGGTAAGATTACCTCCGATAGACCCGAGGTAGGCTCGAGGCCTGGCCCCGAGGTATCTACTGGCTTCTTCTAAGCCCGGGAACGCCCCCTTACTGGTTCGATTGTTATTTTGGCTAGCTTGATCTTTACTGTCTTACTCCATATTTAACACTAATCACCCTTCCAAACTAGCTCGGGAATAGATCACGTATTTTTAGAATCCCATTTATAAATTTAATTGTTGTTACCATTTTCAGGGTAAGCAAAAAGTTTTAACCAACACACAAAGAACTCGGCTTTTATAGTGACTACAAAAGAAGAAGAAAGGAGCATCAAGAATCTAAAGTTCAAAATATGTAACTATTTCAAAGCTTATGAAACACCCTCAATAACCAACAAAAACTTAGATGTGTAGAGTCTTACAATAGAAATAAATCTAAATTTCAAAACTTTAGACTATTTCAGTAATGGAACAGTGGAAGTAGGTTACTGCAAATAAGAGTAACAGTCATTGCGTCTCTTATGTGATCACTGAAGAGTTCAACATTTCATTTTGAGGTATCTCCGGTTCTTACTGAAGTCTTCATCATCTATATCAAATTTGAATATTCTTAAGGAGTTTCCAAATCTCTCTTAGTCCTCTTACTCATCTACTACTCTTTCCATTCCTAGACAAAAAGAACAACTTTCTATGTTTTTTGCGTCTCTGTCGCTTATCACTATCATACCCTTCTGATATGAATTGTCAAGATGATCAAAATATGGAAGCCATACAGCTTTTACACAAGTGAATAGTGGACACTTTAAAGAACTCGAACAAATGTTGTTGCTAGGCAGAGAGCTAACCATCATCTTATTGAACGAATCTTGCAGCAAATTAAAAGGATTTCCCTTTGTTTCTATACCTTATTTTTCCCTTGCACAAGGAAAAAGTAAAAATCTATTTCAAACTCATAAAAGGTGCACATCATCAGCATGCAAATGTTTTAAGAAACGGAAGGAGAATCTTTTAAAGTCACGAGGCTTGAAAGAGAGAACAGCTTCTGTAGTTTATTTGAGCCTGCCATTTCAAAGTCCAGGACAAAAGGTTCAAAAATTTTCATGCAGGGACTAAACTGTTGTGACAACATATATAAATCTCTTTTAAAGTATGAACTACAGTAAATAACTTGGAATTATAACTTCATTTTTATTAGCAGAAATGCATAATAATTCATACTTTACTTCAGTTAAGATATGTCAGCAACTCTCAAATGCCCATTACTGCAATATCCTCCATTGGGAACAACGGATTCAACCCTTGCTTAGACATCATGTGCCTAGGAGAGACACAGAACGAAAAAGATATTAAAGGAAATAACAACTTCACTTATGGCTACTGGATTCTTGATTAAGGAAATCATATCAATATACTGAGAACCATGACATGTTGTGCGAATTATAAGTTTATGTGTATAAAGTCACCAAAATTGCATAGATAGTAGACATGAACCCATAACTTTACAGATATAATAGGTTTAATACTAAAAATATTAAAGGTTGAACCCATAGAGTTTAAATCCCCTGGATCCATCTCTGACAGTACGATAAGTCTTCATACAACTACAGTCATTTGTGGTAACCACCATCAATAGCATTAACATCCTTCTCAATCTTAGCCGTTAAAAAAGGCTCAGAAATTCTATTTGTTTTAGAAAAGGACGAAGCTAAAGATTCCAATTCAAGGACTGCTACTCTAGAATTTACTATTAATTCGAGAAGCCATATCTTCCTGTGAATTTCTCAAATGAAAAGCACCAAATATTCATTTTTCTTGTCTTTAGTAATTCATATTCTCCACTTTTGAGCTCTTTCAAATCCCTGAAAGTAGCAAACGTGTGGAGAAGAAAAAGTTAAGCGTCTGCAGGAAAACAACAAAAAAAAAATTGCAAAACAATGGGCAATTTTCAACATAGAGTTTCGCTTTTTTTTCTTCTCTAAAGAATATCAAGTTGGTAACAAAGTCATATATTGTAAGACAATTGCAAGCTCTCTTTATGGAAGTGATTACCTTTAAGGTCTCAAAGGATTCAGAGAAAAGAACTTTAGCAAGACAAAGAGAGAGATTTCAACATGTGTTCTTTTGTTTTTCATTCTTTCTCACTCGTCCTTTCTCAATTGGTGAAATAGCAGAAAGACTGTAAAGATAGGAAGGCTAAAAGATATTTAGAAAATTCTAAGCTTGAAAGTAAGAAAGATTGTATATAACAATAGAAACTTACCTGAAAAGGAAAATGCCCTTGGTTCTTATGTCACTATTTAGTTTTCTGCAATTAACAGAAGGCCAAAAAAAAGTCTGAAATATTCAGTTGATGGTAAAAGTGTGCAGTCGGCTTTTGGTAAACATTTCAATCAAATGAGTAGTAAATTATATTGCACATAAAAATATGTTGTTTAGTAATTTTGTTTTAGCATTAAAGACTGGGATTAGTAATCTACAATGTCATACACGATAGGACACAAATGTATGACATAACTTATAATACAACAGAGTTTCACACATAATATGAAGGCAATCAACTCTTATCACACAAAAATTGAGAAGGCAATACAGAAATTCATCTTCTAAAACAAATCCAGTCACTATACTTAAAGTAGTGGACATTTCCTATGCGACATTATCAAGAATCAAAACTGCATTGAGTAGAAAACAGTACTTTACTCAGAGAAGAGTCATCACTAACATCCCAGTCTGAATTCAAGAACTACTGGAATACAACGAAGAGAATGTGACTGTACTACACAACATGTAATGATGAACTTTTAGAATAATAAGAGACATGTCGAAAGAGGCTTTGGACAACCACTTCCATCTTTCATTGCTCGAGTGCACAATGGAAGGGCCTATTTTCCTCGGCGTGCTTAGACTGACTGAAAATTTTCGTGGATTAGGCTTTCTGGTTCAAAAGACCAAAGTGAATGTCATAGGACATAAATATGACATCAACAAATTTCACAATCTCATTTTCAGAAATCTATGATGAACATTTCATATTTAGAAACTCAAAGGGAAAAACCCCAAATTTGATCTTCAAGTTCCAATAGAGTCCCCATGTTGTTTCAAGACAACCCATAGCATTTCCCAACATATTTATGCCTACAAAAATAGCTTACAAAAATCTTTGAACGTCTATAAGAAGGGAATTAAGAAAAGAACTACCTCTTTTACAATTGGAATACCTTCAAGCAAACCCATAACAAATCCAACATAAATATGCTCACAAAAATCGCTAATAGAAGTCTATGAACATCTAGTGAGAAGGAAAACAGGGTGAGTTTTAAGAAAAGAACTACCTCTTTTACAATTGGAATGTGGAGTCTTCATCGCCTTTTTATTGTTTCTATGGAGAGTATTTTTACATGGAGAATTCTTTGCAATTTGAGAAACTATAGTGTCGTTTGCAGGGATGTATAAGATCTGGAAACGACATGGTAATAAATTCGAACCATTGCAGTGCTAAAGAAGAGACGAAGAGGTTTTACGGAAAAAGAGGGAAAGAGGGGGGTGTAATTAAAATAATTTAATTTAATGACGTTTCAGTGTATTTTTGATGTAGCAGATAAATGAAATAAATGAGTTAAAAAGCAAAAAATTAAATAGTAATCCTGGTTTGTAAGAGGTGCCACATCAACTCTTTTTGTCCCTCTTTTATATATACTAGTTTCTCCACACGTGCGCTGCACGTGTATGTCTAGTCTTGTAGTAAAACGATACCGTAAAATAATTAATAATATTAAAACAAAGCTTTAAAAGAAATAAAGTATAAGTTTCTATGAATGACTAATGCAGATCATCATATGGTAACTTTTTTGTCGAGGTCAAAATGATTGGATATCATCTAAACCAATGAATATGAATATTCAAGTTTAAATCTGGGGAGAAGGAGATATATTTTTAGTATTTGTTGTTATTTCGGTCACTGTTATAGTATGTAGTGTACACAATAAACTGAGTTGGTACCTTTTTTCCACTTGAATATGCATTTTTTTTTACTATATGTGTTGCCGTACATATATTGTTATTATTGTGTTGAAGACAAAACTCAATGTGACAAAGTAATATTCGAACGATGTTAGTTATTCTGATGTATCAAATATTTATCTTGATTGTTTCCTAGTTTTTAGATATTTTAGCAACACAATTTAAATGTAAATTTGAGCGATGTATTGTGATTGCAAATGTTTTGCGTCTTAAAGTTATTGCCTTGTTTATAAGAAACTGCAACCTCTTTTTTAGAATCGCATCCATATATATCATTGAGTTGTTAACAAAAGAAAGTATAGTATTATTCCTGCACAATAATTCGTTCATCATATGTCTTTCCCAGAATAGCTAGTATAGATATAGTAATCATTTGTGATAAAGAAACTTAATAGTTACCTTATTTACTTCTTAATGTCGATGCAATATATTTTTTCATAATTCGTTCCTAATGATAATTTTACTTTAACAAAAAGTTAATATAAATGTATTTGATATAAAATGTAACATATGTGAATATATGTACATATATGTATGCATTGCATGCACATACATATACACACAATTATACATATACATGTAGGTAGTTTTATCTTTCTTTTAGTCAACTCAGTAGGAAGAAGAAGTTGTAGAATTGGAGTTGTAAATTCAACAAAGAAAAATAGCAATATACTCTTTTATTTCTCAAAGATGAATTGGCAAAATAGTCAAGGAGAATGTCACATTGTTTTGTACAACCGGAAAATGAACTATCAGAAAGCTAAAATGATAGATATTCTTTTTATGCCGTTGACTGACTACCAGAGCAAACCGTTTAAATAGGTATGATTATTATTCTTAGAAATGACTCAAATTATATTAGTTTCACATTTTTATTTCTACTTTTATGGTATCTAATTACCAAAAATCTCTCAATGCTTTTTTATTTATTTTATTTTTCACATTATAGTTCTATTTTCTAATTTTCAATCATGAATTCTCAATATTTATATTATGTCTATAAAAAATTTCATATTATCGATGCAATTTAACATGCCAATTTTATTATTCTAAGTAATTACTTATATTAATTTACTTTTAAGTGATCTAATAAAATAAAAAATCTATACTATCAATTAATAAACATTGAAATTTATGTAACTACTAATTATATCCTTGAAATTATATATAGTGTATTTCTTTCAGAAGTCGAATTGTGTTTAATGGTCAAAAATCCAATAATCAGAAGCAGCCGCAAATTTGAAAAATTCAACAAGAGTTGGTAAAACATATAATACTCTGTTCTTTTCTTTAAATAAATTGAAGAAAAAAAATTAAAAACTCACATGATGTATTGTTGGTCCATGGGATGTTGTACCGATGAATCCCCGTGGAAGGGCCAAAGCAAAGATAATATATTTTCTTCTCTTCCTCTACTGTGTGCTCCTATTTTTATACATATTTGTTTGACATCTTCATGCTTTCACTCTTATGATTTAAACCAACGGTTGAATAGATTTTAAAAAGGATATTTAGTTGCTTATTGAAAAGACATAACTTCTTAGAAAGGACACTTCTAATTAAATCAGTTTTTTTCTTAATTATTATTATTAGTATTATTATTTCCATTTGTTATAAGTAGGATATTTAAGTTTTTAAGAAGGATATTTTAGTAATTTAACTTTTTAGTTATGAGTTTCCTACTTTTAATATAATATACTAGTTTCTATATTCATGCGTTGCACGAGATTCTTAAGTCAATTTATGAAAAAATTCCAAATTAAATTTTTGAAAAATAGTATATACAAAAAGAAAGAATCTTGTGTTTTATTAGAGGAAATATGTGTTTTATAAGTGGGATACTGGGATTTGTTATGGCTTTGGAACTCTAAGAGCATGTGGGATTCTACTATTTTTATGTGTAACTATTCGGGTAGAATTAGTATAGTATTAGAACTTTACAATTATTTAATAATTTTTTTTATTTTAATCTTTAGTTGGTATCATATTCCTAAATATTAGGCAAATTAGTATTAGATATTATTATTTTATCCAATAAGAAACTATTTTTTTGACAAAATATTTAAGGGTATAAAAGTTGAAAATAGATATAGATAGATATAGATGCAGATAAGATAATCGGTTCTTTTTTGTTGCTATAGGTTAAGTATGAATTCTCATGTAAAATATTTATAGCTTGTATACGAGATGCCATCGTTCATAGTTCATACTTGAAATTGGGAAGGCCCTGGGATTCTCTCACAAGTGTAGTCAAATCTAAAGTTAATTGATAAATTATTTGATTAATACCAAATAAGTAGCGAAGCAACTTTGTAGGAGTTGTCGGTCGTTTGCTTTTATGTTGACTCATATTATAATTAATTAAAAATAAAGTTGTAGTTTAACTCCAAAAAAAATATTGGGTTGTATTTTGAATATTATAATTATATCCATCTTTAACTTGGTTCATTATTTCCAATAAATTTCTAAAACAGGTGATTGAACAAATACTGTTTGTTGTCTAAAAATTAATATAGTCATCCTTACAATATCATCAAAGCAAAAACTATCCAAACCATATACGTATCAAGAACCAAAAATAGAATATATTTAAATAGCACAATTTGACAATCAAGAATAAAGAATTTGTGATAATACTATCTCCGAGCACTTCATAACTCGACATCTTTTATGACCTATCAACATGATAGGTACGTAATATATAATTTCAAAGATTGACAACATATTGTAAACGTTAATTTCTCATAATTTGAAATTTCAAAAACAGTTAGTAGAAACATACAATTAATTTACCATTGAAGAAGATATATATTATCTTAAGAATCTAAAAACATGAAAAATAAGATAGATTAGAGGAACGTACTTCTATTGGAATTCAAGATAACAAATTTACATGGAGCCCTTTGTAAAAAATCATTGAATTCCTTTAAATAAGATAATTTGTGGTAGAATCCCAAAAGAAATCAGACGTTTGAAGAAAAGTTTCAATTCCGTTGCAATTGTTATTTGGAAAGTCCTTCGGTGTAGTCTAAATCGGAAAAATTTCTGTATTTGGTAATTTACAATTGTATCCTTAATGTAACGACCCGACCGGTCGTTTTGAGTTGTCGTGCTCCGTTCAGCAGCCTGAGGCCATGAGCAGCTTCATTTCAGGTGATATGACTTGTACGCGTGGTCAGAATTATGTTCCGGGAAGTTCAGAGGTTATTTGGAAAGAGAATTCTTATTTCAAAAGCTTAAAGTTTAAAGAATGAACTAGGATTGGAATTTTGAGTAAACGACCTCGGAATCGGGATCTGAAGGTTCCAGCAGGTTCGTATGATGATTTCGGACATGGGCGTATGCCCGGTGCGGGATTTGGATAACCCGGGAGCGTTTTGGCGCCTATTGTGGGAGTTAGCATTTTTGAAGGAATTTCTTAAGTTTGGCTTGAAATGTATTTCAGTGTTATCGATGTCCGTTTGGGATTCTAAGTCAGAGAATAGCTCCGTATAGTGATTCTGGAGTTGGGAGCGCAATCGAAAGTGAATTTGGAGGTTCGTAGGTCATTTTGGAGCCATTTGGCTAAAGATAGAAATTTGAAGGTTTTTGAGAAGTTTGACCGGAAGTGAACTTTTTGATATCGGGGTCGGAATCTGATTCCGGAAGTTGCGATAGGTCCGTAATGTCAAATATGACTTGTACGCAAAATTTGAGGTCAATCGGACGTGATTTGATAGGTCTAAACATCGAAAATAGAAGTGTGAATTTTTGAAGTTCATTTAGTTTGGATTGGAGGTCGATTCACGATTTTAGCGTTGTTTGATGTGATTTGAGGCCTCGAGCGAGTCCGTAATGTGTTGAGGGATTGGTTGGTAGGTTTGGTTGAGTTCCCGGGGGCCTCGGGTGGATTCCGGGTGGTTAACGGATCGAAAAATGGGATTTTTGGAAGGTTGAGGACTGCTGGTTGCTGTCATAACCGCAACTGGGGAAAGGGGGCCGCAGGTGCGGCGCCGCAGAAGCGGCTAAGAAGGCGCAGGTGCGAATTTTTTGGTCAAGGGCTGGAGGACCGCAGATGCGGTCAAGGTTCCGCAGAAGCGGGACCGTGTCTGCGGAGAAGTGGTCACAGAAGCGGATTTGGGTCGGCTCAGAGTGGACCGTAGATGCGGTCAATTTTCCGCAGAAACGGGACCGCATCTGCGAAGGGCGTATCGCAGAAGCGGAAAAAGGGCAGCCTTGGGCGGACCGCAGAAGTGGTTATTGGTCTGCACCTGCGGAACCGCAGAAGCTGTCAAGGGACCGCAGATGCGGAAATCCCTGGAGGCAGAAGGTTATTTTAAATCGGGATTTGGCCACTTCTCTCATAATTTTCATGGCTTGGGGCGATTTTTGTAGAGCTTCAAAGAGGGATTTCGTCACCTATGTTAAGGTAAGTTATTCCCACTCATTTCCAAGTTAAATACAAGATTATATCATGGAATTAAACGTAAAAATTATGGGAAAATTGAGATTTTTGGAAGAAAACCTAGAAACTTGATAAATTGGATTTTTACCACGAATTTGAGCATGGAATTAGGAGTAAATTATATATTTGAGCTAGTGAAGCTATGGGTAGAGTATATCTTTGAAAAATTTCGGATTCCGGGCACGTGGGCCCGAGGGCATTTTGGGCAACTTTTCGTTCGGGGTTAGGAATTGTTACAAATGGGGTTGTAAAGTTTAATTGAGCATATATTAATGGATTTGTATAATCATTGGCTAGTTTTGGAGCGTTGTGCGTTGGTGCAAGTCTTCGGAGGAATGTAGAATGCCTGTTATGAGTCTTCGGAGCGAGGTGAGTCTCCTTTCTAACCTTGTAAGAGGGAATTGTCCCCATAGGTGAGTTAATTAGTTATGTGCTCCTATTTGTGGGGGCTACGTACGCACGAGGTGACGAGAGTCCGTGCGTAGCTACTATTATGCTATTGTCCGGATAGTCTAGGACCCAAAAGCATGCTATATTTTGAATATTTGTAATCTTATGGACAGTTGAATTGCTTAAACCACATCAAATGGTAAATAAATTCCTAATAAGATCTAAACCTCATTTTTGTAATTCGTTAAAGGAGAATTTGTTCTTCTTTGAATAATTGCCCCATGTTGGCTTCCTGACTGAATGTCTCTATGTGTTTATTTTGGAACGGGCCGAACGCCTCGGCAGATTAAATAGATGCATCTATAGGCGCGCCGTCGACCCTCGGCAAGTGCACAGTTTATTTCTGTTGGATTGGGTCGTCGCCTCGGTGTTATTTGCGCATGTTATATTGATGCTTGAGGACTTTAAATGTGAAGTTTTCCCTTCGTGGCTTGATATGAATTAATAAGATAATAAAGAGTAAACATTGAAAACCCCTGATTATTGGTTGAAGGTGTTTATCTATTTTCTGGCTTCGTGAATTAAAACTGCTATATGAATTCATGATTTCCTCAAATGTTTAGTATATTGTCAAATGACCTCTAGTAAGTGTCCAAGTTGACCATCTCGTCTCTACTTCTTCGAGATTAGGCGGGATACTCATTGAGTAGACGTTGTTTACGTACTCATACTACACTTCTGTGTATTTTTGTTGCACGGGTATATTTATTTCTAGCAGCCCACTGGGCGCAGCAACACGGATGGATTTGTGGCTAGGTGAGTTGCATTATTCGAGGCGGCCCGCAGCTAGTGTAGCCCTCTTTAGTACACTGTATTTACTTCCTGTCCATTGTATTCCGGACGGATGCTATATTTTATTTTCTTGACAGTAGATGCTCATGCACTTGTGACATCGGGTTATGGGATGGTTTGAAATATTTTGTATTAATTGCTTATTACTTAATTTGAATTGAAGCAGTTATCCTTTATTTATGGAAAATTGAAGGAAAATCTTAGTTTTCAAGATTGTTAAAAACGAGAATTTGATTAAGTGATTTGGTTGGCTTGCCTGACAGCAGTGTCCGGTGCCATCACGATCCTTAGTGGATTTTGGGTCGTGACACTTAAATTATATAAATATTTAAGGTTATAAAAGTCGATGAATATTTTGGGGATATTTTAGTTATTCAACATTTAGCATAAATTATTCGTGCTTTTATGATAATATATAGATATAGATATAGATATAAATATAGATAGATATATAGATATAGATATAGATAGATATACATAGATAGATAGATATAGATATAGATGTGTCGCAATAGCGTGGGTGTTGTGTAATTAGAAATTGTTAATATTCTATCAGACAATTCAAAGGTCAACTTTTCAAGGTGGCTTATTGAAGATTTGATGAATTTTGAAACTGACCACAAAATGGTCGGTATAACGGCTTCTCCGATTCAATCGTTTCGAGTTACCATGACCGTAGATTAGCCTCTCTTGAGAAATTATAAAATCAAATCATAAACCTCCTCGTTTTGGCCTTCCATTCCAATTCTCTTTGCATCTCTACCAACAGTTTGCGGTGGAGATATGTCGGCTAAACATTTCTGAGGCAGGAATCACGTCTTTCTTGCATATGGTATCATTGTTTCTTCATAGAGTCATGCATGTTTGGGTTTGTGGGTGGGGTTTGCATTGTCTTCTCTAATATGTTTCGTTATTTGTCCGTTATCATGTACCTCTATATGTATTCGAAATTATTCAACTGTCGGTTCTTGTTGTTTTTGTTTTTTGATCTACAGATATTGCAAAATCTAAATGGGGCTGCCTATAATTAAAGTGGTACGGAATATATTATAATCCTATTATATTATACTTTTCCTTCTAAACGTTGTATAATTATGAACGCTATGATTGTCACCTTTTATTTTGGTGGTGTGATGTTGTAACTTTCTAAACTCCAGTGCACATATTTTCAGAATATACTGTTTCCGTCAATGGTTGTATATTATTTTACAAGTCTTACTCATATTATTTTGTTTTTGGCTTCTTTTGTTTCTAGGTATCACCATGCGGCTGGCATTGCTAAATAAAAAAGTCTCATTGCTTGTATAATTATATGAAATTTGGACTGTGATGGAAGGTAAGCACTGAGATTCCATATGTATAATGTTATTTTAGGGTGATTGATTATTTTCTTAACTTCCTGGATCACACAAGCGTTATACTTAAACACTGAACTAAAAGCAGTTACTTCTCCCCAAATTTTCTTCTACATAAGAAAATGGTTTAGGATGGGTCTCGACTAGTTTTTGTACCTGCAGCAAAGTTGTATATTGCTTGAAAATTTGTGGGCTAACATCTCAGAGGGGAATATGTGTCTTTCTTCCCCTACATTGCTCTATTCTTGGTATTTTTTTTCCTTAACCTCTGCTTGCATCATGTAGCAGTTCTTCATAACAGCTTTTTGTTATAGTGGGTTGTTTTCGATTGTGAGGAGAGAAGCAGGGGGTTATGCAATGTGGTTGAGGTTTTGCAAATGATTCTCTGCTTATTGTTTTCCATGATATAGGGGTTATCCAGTGCAACCAAAGGGATCCAATTGAATCCCCTTCATTGATAAATTGTACTGCGTAAATAGAGTTAAAACAACCTTTCTGTACATAAATATTTTGAATCCCCTTAACACAAGAGAATACGTGTTGAAACCCCAGTCGTGCCATTTTTGGGTTATTTTGAATCCCCTTGTCAAAATTCGTGACTCCGTGACTGCTTGTAAAGTCGATAAATTAATTGTTTATCTTGCCAACAGAAATTTGAAGTTCTTTTACTTTTCTGCTTCAATAGAAATTTTACGGACATAATGAAGCATCTTCTCCATGATTATTATTTTAGATACTGCATTTCCTTGTAAAAGTGCTTTGACTGTAATTCTACATACTTGCCTTTATTTTGACCTTAAAATGATGGACTTGCTAGGATTTTGGTTGTTTCTGTGCAAATACTCTCAAAACGTTCGATACAAGTTCATTATAGATAGTTTAGAAGGTAGTGGTTGATTATATCCAATTAGAAAGTTCAATTGTGTACAAATAAGATAACATTTTTTTTCTGGTGATGTCTTTCTTGTATCGTAGGAGAATGTTACGAATCTAACTCTGATTGTCATTTTTTTCTCCTGCACTTTATCTCAGGTCTCCTCATCTTCTGGTATCTTGAAAGATAGATACTGTTCATAGAATTTCTTGAAAATTGGACTCTAAAGGAAAGCAAACACTTAGATTTTGAATCAAATGTGAGGTAAATATTTTTGCTAACCACCTGAAATTCAGTACACCTACTGTTGTTTATTGTAATAGCATCTGGAAAACTGCAGAGAATGCACAAGTACATGTTATGGTGGCATGATTATTTTCTAAACTTCCTGGATTATACATGCATGATAATCTTGGTATACTGAAATAATTTCGCTTTCCCAAATTGTATCTACTACTAATCTGGTTAAATAGGGGTAAGAATCATGCGTTAACCAATTATCACCAATCACAATTCATTAGAGTATGTTCTTAAAGTCATTCGATATAGGCATCAACGAATTGAACCTGTGCTGATGGAATTGCAGAATGGGGAGAGCAAAATTAAAACTGCATAAGTTGGATGGTAGCAACCGGATAGGAGTATACTCGAGGCGAAAGAAGGGACTCTTGAAGAAAGCTAATGAGCTGTCAGTATTGTGTGACATTGACATCTTTCTTGCCATGTTTTCACCAGGTGGAAAGCCTAGTGTATACAAGTCAGATAACAGGTACTTTTTCCCACCACGATAACTCAAGATTAAACCTTAAATTTCCATATCTTAATGTTATAGGATTGTTACTTTTTGATGCCAAGACACTTTATCCATGTCTACAATTTATGAGATATGAAGTATTTTGTGGCATCCACCTGAATGAAAATAGGCTAGTTTTAATTATTATGCACCTCTAAATCTAACAAACATTAGAGACCAGTTTTTGCAAAAGCCTTTCTGCTGATAAATCTTAAATCTGCTGCATTCTTCTTCCTCCAGTAGCTTTGAGGACATGATTACCAAGTTTGCCGAAGTAAATCCAGAAGAAAGGGCAAAAAGGTAACATAACACATTTGTATGAATAATTGTGCTGATGAAATAATTGAATGCTTTAAGAGTAATTCTTTGAACTCTTCTTTTACTTGATAAGCAGGAAGATGGAGTGTCTTGATGTAAGTCAATCTTCTGTCTTTCCGTTCATGTGTGCATTTAAATTTTCAAGGTGCTTTTCTAGTGATGCATTTTTCTGGCTTTGAACATTTAGACGATAAAGAAAGCTTGCAAGAAGTCTGATCATGATGTAGACATAGGACAGCAGCTTTGTCCTGGGTACGTTTCATTTCACTGCCAAGTAGTTATGTTTACCTATCTTTTAAGAAATCAAGGCCTGTCAGGTTGACATTTTTTACTACTGAAAACATTTCTTCTTATTCTTTTTCAGGGATTTGACAACGGAGGTATTAATTTTATTTATCACAAAATATCACTATGATTATCAAATTTGTTACCATTGGTAGAAATGCTAGTTAGATTTACTGAGTTTCTTGTGCTTAATGTAGGATATCACTTTTCTCTCACATTCATTAAGAATTCGACTTTCAGACATTGAGGGTAGAGTCAGGTAACTTTGATCTCTTCATTGTTCATTTTTTTTCAATGGATATCTTCCAATACAAACATAAAAGCATAATCATAGATTAGGCCTCTTATGATTGGTTTCGTTATATATTTAGTGATTTTTATAAGAAAAACCCTGTTATTTTTCTTCTGCAAGTGTTAAGAAGCTGTATTATTCGTTCTTGAATTGTTCCAAAGAACAACTATTTTGTATAGGAGATAAAGTCCACAGATGTATATAATGTCTGGCAGAATACTTAAAAAGTTGGTTTACCAAATGCTTAAAGTTTCACAGTTCTACTAAAAAGCTAGTGATTCTTCCACTCTTGATTGGTTCAATGAACTTTTATTTCATTACTTTACATGATAGTGAATGGATTTTACTGTGTTGGTCACACAATTGTTATATAAATACCTCTGAAAAATATTTATTACAAACTTTTCTTGAACATTATATCATAAGACTGAACTTATCTCCCTTAAGAATAAGAGATGAGACTTTCTCTAAATCAACTTCACATTTGAGGAGAACTTGCTTTTTTGATTCAAAATTCATTTGTCAACTGCACTGACAATCATTGCGTCATTATAGATTTGACCGAGTATTGTGGTTGTGTCTTATAAATAAATGGAGATCATTTCTATTACATATGCTGGATAAACAATCAAATGATAATCAAATAATTCTGTAAACACTTGTGACCTCAGAAATGGAATGTACATAGTCTAATGTGTCATGTGTGTGGTCGTAGGAATTAGGAAGTAAAGTTAGATACTGTTTTGGGGAAGGCCAATACATTATAGCAAAGTTGCTAGCTGATATTTGGCTTTTCTGCAGATATGTAAGTTATGAGTTTATCATAAGCATATCCAAATTTCCCACCAGCTAAGTTTACAGTGACAGACTAAGTTGGGCAGTATTTCGCAAATCCTTCGAGTAACTTTATATGCTTCATTCTTTGTTTTATGTGTAGCTGGAGAATGTTTAGAAGGTTACATATTCTCCTTTTTCTCTTCCAGAAAAGAGAATATCCCTTGTTATCAGGTCTATGATAATTCAGTACAGTATGACCAAACCAAAAAAAAAAAAAAAAAGGAATGGAAGTGTTGCATGAATAGATCAACAGTTAGCTGATTCAGATTTTTCTCTCCCGTCCCTAGGTTGATATGCCTCGTTGGCTTACTATTATTTCTATGGAGATAGTTCTAAGAACTATATATGACATTTCTTTTTGTTTTGGAATATGTAGGCTATGGAAGAATCTTGAAAAGATTGACAGCATTCAACAACTTAGGACAATGGAGGACTCAATATCAAAATCTCTTAACGAAATCGCGAAACATAAGGTATACTTAATTCTTGCTTCACCTGGCATTCAATAGCTATGTTTTTTATTCACGCACTTATGTGTAGCCAATCACCACATTTATTGTGAATGATCAAATTTACTCATTATTGTTAATTTAATCGATGAAGACCTCAAGGGCCTTAAAGGGAGTACTATTGTTGGATATATATATTTGGTTAAACCTTTTATTTAAACTCACTTTGTTTTCTTAAATAAAAGTATTTAAAAAATCTTCTTTATGAGATACCCTGGCGTTTCTTAGAGTAATATGTTGTCTCTATGAAAATAATAGGAGCGTGATGTTATATCGATCCTCTTGCAGTGGATCGTAAGCTAATTTCTTTATTAACAGTTTATAACATCAAATAAACAAAATGAAATGAGCTGCTTATAGAATACTGTGCTTGGCTGTAGTGTTTCCAACATATCCATTATTTAACTTTTGATTTTCTTATTTTTCCATATTTTGATAAAAGCTCATAATTTGTGTTAATTAATGGGTAAATATAACTGCAATGATAAGTTATGCCTTACAGTTTATTGTAAATTAAAAGATTGTAATGAGCTCTGTTTGCATTGCAGTGTGGGATGGGTTCATTAATTTTTGGTGCTGGGCAAGATTTTCAGCCTTCTTCAGTCCGACATGGGATGGATTCACCTTTGAACTCTGATGCTAGGAAAGAGTTCCATCCATGTTCATCAGTCCATGCTTGTGATAGTGAAAATATTGATGTATATGAAGACATGAATTCATTCGATTCATCTTTACATTGTGATACTGGGCAAGATTTCCAGGCTTCTTCACTGATGCATCATGGGATGAATTTGGGGCAAGAGCTCTATCAATGTTCATCAGTCCACGGTGAAAATATGGATGTATACGAGGACTTAAATTCATTTCCACTAGAGTGAGGAACCTCCTTTATGTGCTTCAGACTTCCAATTATCATGTCCCTTTTAAGTAAAAGATTTTAACATATGATATAATTGGCATTGATATTTTTATTGCTATGTCTAATAAAAACACAATATTTTCGTCCCGTAATCATAGTTTTTACTTTGTCTGCAGAAGTAATTATTAGCTTCTGACATTTTAATGATTTGGGGTCTGTAGGTATTTGGAGGAACCATCTTTTTCTTTTGAGAGCTACACAAATCTTGTTTGCAGCAAAGAAATTGAAGTCTCTATGCCAGAATCCGTAAATTTTGTACCTGGTGAAATATTTCTGGATTGTGAAGTAAATCAGGAAGATATTGTAACAGAATTTGGATTTACCTTTGATGTGCCACAACAAGAACAGACGGATGACCAGGGAAATGATTTTGACTGTAGCATCAACAAGGGTTCCAGACTTCCTCATTCTGATCTTGTTAACATCCACGATAGTTCAAAATCAGCATCTGGTACTTGTGAAAATATGATATTAGCCGAATCTCTACACTTTCTGGTAAGTTTTAACCTTTATGATGTAGCTAATCTCTAATATTCTTACCACTCCTTTCACACTTCATTACTCTTTACATTTTGAAAAAAAAAATATTGATCGTTTTCTATCATTGTCCAAAGATCCATCCATGTGAAACTAGTTTCTGAATTGAGCTATATGAGAAACATTTGAATGCTTACGATTTGTCATCAGCATCAAGTCTAAATTGCTGATTGTAACTACATAAGTCTCAAGATTATTATAGAACCTCCAACAACTTTTTTATCTAACCTTACAATTCTGATTTATATCATAGCACCGATCTACTTAGTTCAGTCTCGAAGACGGGATAATAGAGGCGTAGCACCGAATATGTTTGAATAGTCCCACCCAGTAGATGGACAAGCCAGTAGTACCAATCAAGGAAGCCTTGAACTATAGAGCTTTCTTTCCCGATGGTTATCTCTCTTAAGGATGAAATTTTCTATAAACTTAACAACTACAACAAACTCAGTTTAATCCCATAAGTGGGGTCTGGGGAAGGTAATGTGTACGGAGACTTACGCCTACCTAAAAAGGTAGAGAGGCTGTTTTCTATTGACCCTCTGCTCAAGGAACATTAAAAATAAAGCAACAAGCAATAACAGCAGCAATGTAATAGGGTAACGAAAGCGAATGACACAACAAGTAATAAAGAGCCTGGAATACAATTTTCTCTAACGTGTCTTCACATTTTGAGTGGAGAATGCTTTCGAGGCTAAATTCATCATCCTACTGCCACAGCAGTCGTTTTTGCATCTTAGGTTTTGGAAAATCTTTGTGATTGCATCTTATCAAAAGATGGAGATCATTTCTATGACATTTGGTGGCCAAAAATACAATTGTTATTCAGAATTCTGTAACCCTTCTGAGATCAGAGATGGAAGATGCATAATCTAGTGTATGTGGTCATAGCAATTTGAGTGACGTTTGAGGAAGATCAATGAGTTATAGAAAAGCTGTCAGCTAATTGTTGGCTTAGTTTGTTGCATATATTTTAGTTATTAATCTAGGATGCCTTCCGACATTGTCCACCATCTGCATTTTTAGTGGAAAGATTTTATTTGGTAGTATTTCCAAAATCCTTAGAGTACATAGTGTGATTCAATGTTTGACTTATAGCATGGTGATTCCTTTTCTCTTGGGATCTAGGGAACTGTAGATTTCAGAAGAATATTCACAAAATTAACATCATGAATAACTTAGAAAAATGGGTGACTCACTAGCAAACTCCATTAAAGTGCTTCTGGTAAAAAATTCAGATACTTTTCAACGAAATCTATTTCCAAATATTAAAGTGGATTTGGCACAAAATCGTGATATGATTATATCTTAACATTTATAGAGTTATATGAAGCTCCTATGAGAATAAGATGATTTGTAGATAAAAATTTTAAGGCTTGGAATCCTTAGGGTATATAATAAAAAAAATTAGTAAATGACAAAGACTGCTCAACAGTGTACAACCACTGGCTGTTAGATTTCCAGCATATCCATTATTATCTTTTGTTATTCTCATTCATGCCATTGTAATAAAAAACTATAATAATTTGTTAATTAGTAGTAGGTACATCTTAGGACTCTAAAATACTGTGTGTACTGCATGTTTTAATGTTCTCCTTTATTGCCATTATGATAGAAACTAAAAAATTTATATTAGTTAATAGTTACATCTTAGTACTCTGAAATACTGTGTATACTACAAGTTTTAAGGAGCATCCTTTGCATTTCAGTATGGGATGGATTCATCAAGTTCCGATGCTGGAGAAGAGTTTTCAACTTCTTCCTCAATCAAGCATGGGATAAATTTATCTTCAACCCAACTCGATGCAGGCTTATCTGTCAATGGTGGTGATAGTGAAAATATGGACAATTACAAGGATCTTATTGCATTTGATGATTCGTGTTTAAAATTTGAGGATGAGCAAGAATTTCAGTCTTCATCATCAATTGGCCAGTATAGTATGAATTCACCTGTAAGTTTTGATGCTGGGCAAGAGCTGCATCGATCTTCATCTGTCAACGGAGGTGATAGTGAAAGTATTAATGGATACGAGGACCTAAATTTGTTTGTACAAGGGTAAGGGTTTACCTTTATATCAAGCTTCAAGCTTCAAGCTGCAAATCCTCATAGTCCTCGTTAATTTGATAATAGTAACGATATCTTTTATTTCTTCATCACCATGTTTAGACAAATGTATTATTTTTCCTATTTCCCATCCATATGCCCCGCTCATCATCATCAGTATCATTATCACCACCTTTATCATTATATACGGAGATAATTATTATCCTCTAATATGTCATTTGATTTCGGGTTTCAGGTTCTTGGACGATCCACCTTTATCAATGGAGAGCTGTACGGATCTTGCTGGCAACCATGAAGTTGAAAATTATAAGCCGGGATATGAAAATTGCTCAGAGGATAAAATGTTTCTGGATTGTCAATTAAATCAGGAAAATATTGAAATGGCATTCAAATCTAATATTGATTTTGCCACTGGTAGAGCAAATGGATGACGTCCAGGAAAACACTTTTGACTGTCTCAACAAAGGTTTTGGATTTCCACTATTAACATCCATCCTAGTGTAACTTGTGACAATATGACTATCTCAACTTTCCTGTAAGTTTCACCTGTCTTAATCTTTTATTTCACTTGGAAACTTTTCCTCTCTAACATTCTATAATTCCTTACTCCTTACATTGTCTTTTTAAATTTTTATTACTTACTATTAAGGGGGGTATCGCATTGGGGTTATTCGATCCCAGATCACATGGTGAAGGATGATGGGCTCACTCCTTACTTCTTGAGATATTCATTTTGTTCTATTGTTGGCAAAAGATCCATACATGGGGAACTAGTGGTCTTTAAAGTGGTTCTACTTGAGGAATGATCTCTTATTAGAATATATGTCTTCTCCAACATCATGTCTAAATTGCTGGTGTTAATATTTTGAAGGGGATAATGCACGTCTCTAAAACATGCAGTTAAGTATTAATTTTCCCTCCCATGTGCCGTCTCAATATGTACAGGGATAGAATAAAGCAGGTTGAAGACAACTTAATCATTTGTGGAATACGAAAAGAATTATTTATGGAATACGAGTATCAAGAGGATATTAGAATCGTCAACTACTTCGCATTCATGTACAATTTTGTTAGTTGTTTGCGTATATCAAACATGAACAGCGTTAGTATTTCTGAAGTCTTATAACTTAATTGCTTTATGAGATTAAAGATACATGTTGGCTATCGATAACGGTTTGGCATGCTATACCTTAGTAGTTGTCCTTATAGAACTATTCCATAATTTCTCTAAAAGTGCAGCTCATTGTTTAGCAGTATTTCAACTTTGCAAGCAATGGCAAACATCTAAATTTCCTTACGAAAAAGAATTGCAACTCATCAGTTTCTATGTATTCCGTGCCCACCTCCTCAAACCAAATAAATGATCATCCTTTTGCCCCGTTACAGGGGTGCTATTTTGGATCGACATTGACACATATGAAAAGAAAAACATGTGGACTTCCCTTTGCATCTATATATATAAGTGTGTGTATAAAGTAGATGAAAGAACGCGATAATCTAAACACATTAGATAGCGCGTAAATCACAAAACGAGAATCTGTCCACATAGCGGAAGCGGAAGGAACGGATTAATTGAAGCTGGAATTACCGATCAGAGGTGGTTGTCATAGTGAATTGGATCCCTAAGCCACAGTTTGATTTTTGGAGAAGACTAAGCATAGAAAAATATTGTGTATTCTGTCTATTTAGAGGTACACCGTATGTGTACTTACTGTGATTTGCCCTAGTGGGCTCTATGAGCAGGTGGACTTTATTTCCTACATCTCCCACTCATACATAATGGGAGTTCTCATCTAAATTTGAGAAATATATTCTCATCTCATCTCCTCAATCATTCATATAGGGAAGTAGACCGTGCGACCATCATACTGTGAGAGCTAAGTGCTATACATCTGTTAGGAGTATATAGCCTCTCGTCGAGTGCAAACCTGCAAGTAGAGCATAAGTACACAGTTCCCTAGATCATATAAATCACATTTGATATAGTTTCAACATCTCATGTATCATTATTTCTTGTATCAAAATCACAACTCATAAGTTATATCTAGTGCGCACCAGTGAACACAAATAAATGAGATTCCATCAATGATCTTCCTCTTCTCACGATCCCCTTAACATTAGTATGACTCATTTTATAGATATGCTCCGCTAGATCGAATTTGTGTACATGGTCTTTTGGAAACACACTAAGATGGCTAACATCACACTAAGTCTCAAGTATCTGATCGGAGTCTCTGAGGGTACAAAATCTTGAGCCATTATAAAAGCTCTGGATCTCCCATAATAATAAGTTGAGAATCGACTTATGTTAACCTAATTGGTCGATATTAGCACACATGATATGAAACACATGCTACAATATTTTCTCCCTTTCCCCGAGGAGCGTATGTCTTTATCTCATAAAGAATGTTGTACAGATGATATCTAGACACCATAAGTATCTAAATTTGAGTTCCTTGGTCTACAAAATCATATTTAACTCATATTTGTCTCACAAAGTAGACTAGGTGAATGTTTTTCACCCTAATGACCTTATGTCATGGTTTACGCGACATTCAGGATTTTAAGCGAATAGCTCTTAAATTATTCTTAAGATAATTTTGCTTAAAATCATGTCTCATCTCCACACATCACTAAGATAAGGAGGCGGTTTCCTATGTGAGAAGGCCAACCTCTTGTCTACCCGACATGCTTATAAAAAATGAACAAAGAATGCACATAACATTCAGCAATATAATATTTATGTATGTAAATCAACTATATTGATAACCAACGAACATCAGTTTTGTGAATACGGGAAAATAAATAACAAAATGAAGTATATCAAAGTCTACTCAAGCCTTGAGACCTTGCGTGTCTCACAAATGCATCTCTAGACAAAGGCTTGGTCAATGGATCTGCTAACATGTCTTTTATAGACACATACATCACATTTAATTACTACCTTACATCTAACTATCATGACCCCATTTTTTCACCTTAGGATGTCGTGGTGGCACCTAGTCTCTAAGACTGGGTAAGCCTAACATTTAATATTAATTAACAAGAATAGTCAAAAAGGAATACAGATATATATATAGGAATAGTAGCTACATACGGACTCTCGTCACTTCGTGCGTATGTAGCCCCCACAGATAATCACACATTTTGATTAATCCTATGGGGTAAATTCCCTCTTACAAGGTTAGAAAAGAGACTTACCTTGTCTCAAAGCCTACTTCCCACTTCAAGAATGAGCTCAAACCTCAAAATTTGATGCCAAACGACTCGAAACTAGTCAAACATTACATAAACCAATCAATCTATGCTTAAAAGTTCATATCCCTACTATTAAAGTGATTAACTGTAACGACCCGGCCGGTCGTTTTTGGAAGTTACGCCCCGATCCTCTATTAACTGTTTCCTCTAAGTTCATTTCTGCTATTTTGGTTTGCCGGGACGTTTGGTTTTGAGTTTCGGAGAGTTTTGGGATGCTTAGTCCCTAAATGAGAGCTTAAGTGTTGAAAAGTGGTCCATAGTCAGAACAGTGTGAAGACGACCTCGGAATGGAAATTTGATGGTTCTGTCAGCTCCGTTAGGTGATTTCGGGGTTGAAAGCGTGTTCGGAATGTATTTTGGAAGCCCGTAGCTCATTTAGGCTTGAAATGCCGAAGTTTGAATTTTTGAAGTTTCCGGTCCGATAGTGAGTTTTTGATCCGAGGGTTAGATTGGAATTCCGGAAGTTGCAGTAGCTCCGTCATGTCATTTGGGATGTGTGTGCAAAATTTCAGGTCATTCGGACGTGTTTTGGTTAGGTTTTTGATCGAAAGCGTGTTTTGATGAAAATTTAAGTTCTTAGGCTCAAATCCTTGTTTAATTCGAGTTTCCGGCGTTGTTTTAGGTGGTTTAAGGATTAGTACAAGTTTGAATGATGTTATGGGATATGTCCGTAGGTTTGGTTGAGGTCCCGGGGGCCTCGGGTGTGTTTCGGGTGCTCAACGGAGCATTTTGGAGTTGTGTTATTGCAGAAAAATCCTTCAGCAGTTGCAGGTCCCAGATCCTTCTTCGCGTTCGCGTAGCTTTGACTCACTTCTTATTCGCGTTCGTGTCCCCTCTCACGCGTTCGCGTAGCTTTGACTCACTTCTTATTCGCGTTCACGTCCCCTCTCACGCGTTCGCGTAGTGTAATCCTGGAGGGGGGCCAGTTCCTTATACGCGTTCGCATACCCGCCTCCGCGTTTGCATAGCCTCGCCTATTTCCCCGTCGCGTTCGCGAACACTGCTTTGCGTTCGCATAGAGAAGCTCCTGGACTTTAACATTTTCCTTTATCGCGTTCGCATTACTTATGTCGCGTTCGCGAAGCTTCATGTCCCCAGGCCTTCGCGTTCGCAGTCTACCTATCGCGATCGCGAAGGGTAATTTTGGCATCTTCAAATTTTCTTCTTCGCGAACACGAGCTCACCTCCGCGTTCGCGATGCATTAAAGTTCTGGGCAGTATTTAACATTTCAAAAACGAGGGTTAGCCATTTTTTTTTTATCAAAATACAAGCTTGGGAGCTCGGATTTGGGAGCAATTTCGAGGGTTTTTCGAGGGCAACGATTGGGTAACGATTCTCTATTCCCTTATGCTTAAAACCCACTAATCTAATCACGAATTCATCTTTAATTTCGAATTTTTGAATGAAAAATTGGTAAAACTTCATAGACCAAACTATTAGATTTTGAGTGGGTGTTTGACCTCCGATTTGGGAGACTTTTGTATTGTTAGACTCGTGAGAGTACGAGGGTTCTGAAAATGTAAAAATTATTCGATTCCGAGATGTTGGCCTGAAGGGCGTTTTGGTCATTTTATCTAAATTCGCGTCTTAGCTTTAAATTAAATAGTAGAATCTGTTGCTTGTGATATTATTTACGATGTGTAATTAAATTGAACAGATTTGGGTCATTTGGAGTCGGATACTCGTGGCAAAAGTGTGGTTTCGAGTTGATTTTTGGAGCCGGTTTGAGGTAAGTGGCTTGTCTAACCTTGTGTGGGGGACCTTTCCCCTTAGGATATGATATTGGTAATTTAATGCCTTGTGCGTGAGGTGACGAGCGCGTACTTGAGCTAATTGTTGAAAAATCCGATTTTCCTTTAAATATTTAGACCGAGTTTCTTTCTTACCTACTTTATTCTACTTGCAATTATAGCTTGTGTTAGTTTAGAAAAGCATGCTTAGCTGACCTAAATTGCCTATTTGCTTAAGTTGCCTTGATTGTACTACGTGAAGCATGTTAGGCTAGAACTACTTGTTGCCTTGTATTTTCTTGTACTCTAGTTCTGAATATCTTCTTGTTGTGGCTGCGTATTTACATTGGGACTACGGATGTGGGATTCCGGTAGCTCCCCCCTTGTCTGTTTACTTTGGGACTGCGGGTTCGATTCCCGATAGATCCCCCCCTGCATATTTACTTTGGGACTGCGGGTTCGATTCCCGATAGATACCCCCCTGCACATTGATAGTTGGACTACGGGACGGTATCCTGGGAGGTCCTTCGGATATATACATATGATGGACTACGGGACGGTATCCTGGGAGATCCACTGGACAATTGAGAAAAGGACTACAGGACGGTATCCTGAGAGATCCTCATTGTTACCATTGGTATTGAGCTGTACATATTTTGTGTTTACTCTGTTCCTTGTGTAATTGTTATTGCTTTGTTTAGCCTGTCTTATTCCATTGTTGTACTCATTATTACTGCCTATTTTCATACTGTTAATTCATATTATATTGTTTAACCTCAGTAGGGCCCTGACCTTCCTCGTCACTTCCCAACCGAGGTTAGGCTTGGCACTTATTGAGTACCGCCGTGGTGTACTCATGCCCCTTCTGTGCATGTTTTTCATGTGCAGACCCAGGTACCTCCACTCAGGCGTACTATCCTCGAGGTGGAGAGATCTAGCGGAGACTTTGAGGTATATTTGCCGCGTCCGCAGACCAGGAGTCTCTATTCTGTTCCAGCTTTAGTAGTTACCCTATCCTTTTCTTTCAGTTGTTTAGACATTCTGGAGTTAGAGCAACATATTACATTTCTATTAGCCTGTGGTTCCCGTGAGTTTCCGGGTTTTGGGATGAAATTGTAGACT